AAATATATTTCAGGTTATGAACATATGCTTTGTACATCCATGAAATTACTTCTTCTTTCACACAAGTACAATGAAATACTATTTTTAACAATGCATTGGGCATTTAATCACTGTAAAGTGACATCAATGGGGATAAAACCTAAATGATATTAAAGAACACATAATTATACGATGATGCACCGAGATAATCAAAATCGTTAGAGGCGTTCATGAGAAAATTGTAAAAATGTGTTTCAGCGTTGATATAAAGTGGAGCTTCCGGTTAGCCGATTTTAAGGAAAAAGTTGCCGGGACATCTAAGGCATATATCTATATTAAATATGTAATATCAGTTTCGTACAACTTTTTAGTTTCGAGCTAAAATGTTCACATACACACAGAACATTTTTCGGGACTTGGTGATTTGAACTCCGGGGTCCTAAGAACGTTTATTTCCGTTGAAAACTCAGATTCAAAAATGTTCACGATCGCAATACTTACACTAACTATATATTACATATATAGGTAAGTAAAACGAGCCACTTACTGTCTGTAACATTTACATGCCACCATCAGAACCGTTTGCTACACATGATATTCAGCAAATTGTTAGTCAGCTACCCAGACCCTACCTGTTATTAGGTGACTTTAATGCCAATGATATAGCTTGGGGTTCAACACTAGCTGACAATGGGCACAGAGGTAGAAATTTAAAAAAACTTTTAGAGAACAGCCCTACAACTACACTTCTAAACACGGGAGAAAATACTCATTTTTGCTCCAAAAGCAACAATTTTTCATCAATTGATCTTAGCTTCAGCGATGTTCGACTGGCCCCAAAAATTAGATGGGAAACGAAATCGGATCTATATGGAAGCGACCATTTCCCAATCACCATGAAAATGAAGCACGAGACTCCAACACAAATGAGGAACCGTCACTGGCAATACCAGAAAGCAGATTGGACAGCTTATCGTGAAAAAATAAGAAAACAAATTGAGTTCTTTCCTGCAGATCTCGACAATATCGACCACAGCGCCACCGTTATTAGCGACGTAATAACAGAAGCAGCTCATGGAACAATTCCTCTTACAGTTAATAAACTATCTCATACAAGAGTACCATGGTGGAATGAAAAATGTCAAAACGCTGTGAAAGCGAAGAAACGTGCCCTCAACAAATTTAGAAAAACAAGAAATGTGCTTGATGCAATTGAATTTAAAAGATTGAGAGCCATAGCGAACAGAACCATAAAAGAAAGCAAAAGATCGTCATGGAAAGACTTTGTATCTTCAATTAATCAAAACACCTCAATGAAGGAGCTCTGGAATAAAGTGAAAAGCGTTAAGGGGATCCCCAAAACAAAGAAATTGCCTGGTATAAAGAGTGGACAAGACAGTATAACTGACCCTGATGAAATCGCGGAAAAATTGGCAGAATACTTTTATCAAGTATCCTCTATTATTACCCAAACCCCTATAAGCTGTAAAAATATGCCAGATCATTTGAACTTAGGCCACGAAGAAAACTACAATATTCCCATCGGGATACATGAACTCGAATATTTTCTACAGAAATGCTCAAAGAAATCCGCTGTAGGTAGTGACGGAATCTCATATGTGATGCTATATAATCTACCTGACGAAGGGAAACAGATACTATTGCGACTGTACAACCGAATTTGGGATACTGGCTATCTGCCACTAACATGGAGGCATTCCTTGATAGTGCCCATACAAAAAAAGGAAAAAAGTTGTCTTATAACAGACTTCCGCCCAATATCACTTCTCTCATGTGTGAGCAAACTGCAAGAAAAAATAGTAAATCAGAGAATGACTGAGGTAATAAAAAAGAGAGAGCTGCTCACTCCGTACCAATTCGGTTTCAGGGAAGACCACACCGCAATTGACCCCGTCCAAATACTGAAATGGGAAGCCCAACAATCATTCCAAAAGAAGCAACACCTCATTGCCATATTCCTGGATGTCGAGAAAGCCTACGACACGCTGTGGAGATGGCGAGTATTAGACATACTAAGAAGATGGCACATCAAAGGAAAATTATGGAAGTACATAAAGAATTTCCTAAAAAATAGAACATTTAGTGTCAAAGTCGGAAATTCAGAATCCTCTATCTACAACATGGAGAATGGCACCCCTCAAGGATCCCCACTCAGCGTGACCCTCTTTCAGATCGCAGTAAATGACATAGCGGATGTAGTTGTCAAGCCTGCAAAAACCATTTTGTACGCAGATGACATAATGCTGCTCATTCGAAGTAAATCATTAGAATTCTTAAAGTGGAAGACGCAAGAAGCTCTAGAAAACATAGAAAAATGGGCAACAGAGAGTGGGTTTAAACTATCTGCTAGCAAAACTAGAGCCATGCACTTTTGCAGATTAAGAGGGTGCACAATAAATCCAAAAATACGGATGGGTGGTGCTGAAATTCCATTCGTTAACAGCCTAAAATATTTGGGAATGGAGTTAGATCGCCCGCTTAGATGGACAATTCATATAAAACTGCTTAAAGAAGAGTGCCTCAAAAGAGTTGCCCTACTAAAATGCCTTTCTCATACGACTTGGGGAGCAGATAGAAAAAGCCTATTGAAAGTATACTATGCAAGTATTAGAAGCAAATTGGACTACGGCTCAAGCGTTTACGGCTCTGCTTCAAGCAAAACTTTAAGAATGTTGGACGTGGTACACAACTCTGCATTAAGAATTTGTACAGGGGCATTGCCAACCTCCCCTGTGGAAAGTCTATATGCAGAAGCTGGTGAACCTCCTCTAACCTTCAGAAGATTTTTCATGACAACGAAGTATGGTCTCAAAATCAAGACTAACCCAAGACACATACTAAATAAGATATTATTCTGCAATGAGGAATCAGGTAACATCAGGGAGAAAAACTTTGTAGAAACGCTTCTTGAGCATTTTTCGGATCTTAACATTGAAAATGTTCTGGATGTGCCGGATATAATAATTCCCAGATGGACCAATGTCAAACCAATTATAGATACCTCAATTTCCAGACATAAAAAGGATACGGCACTTCCAGTTGAAGTTCAAAAATTATTTTTAGAAACTTTGGAAAAATATAAGGAGTGTCACATCTTGTATACGGATGCCTCAAAAGTTGATAAGGAAGTAGGGTGTTCCGTTATGAATTTTAATACTCAAAAACTATTCAAAATTCCGGAGGCTTGCTCAGTGTTTACTGGTGAAATGCTAGCAATTAGAGAAGCTCTTAAACACATAGAGACAAGTGAAACTACCAATTGGGCAGTGGTGACAGACTCTATGAGTTCATTACTAGCTATTGAACATAACAGGCCCAAAACCTCTCTCGCAAAAGATGTAAGAAACGTTTGGTGGCTACTAAGGGAGAAGGGCAAAGAAGTAGTGTTCATTTGGGTCCCTTCGCATTGCGGGATCATCGGTAATGAACAAGCAGATCAAGCAGCCAACATAGCAAGAAAGCCAAATACAACATCCGTTGAATCAATTAATGAAATCCCTCTGGAGGATTACGTTATAAAAATTAAGGAGAATGTATGGAACATGTGGCAAAACAAGTGGGAACAAGGAGAATCGAAATTAAAAGAAATTAAACCCCACTGTTTAAAATGGGAAACCTCGCACCGACCATCTCGAAAAGAGGAGACAGCCCTTTGCAGACTGCGAATTGGACATTGTGAGTTCTCGCACTCCTACCTACTAAGAGGACTTGATCCTCCGACCTGCGAGAACTGCAATGTCCAAAGGACAGTAAAACACATTATTCAAGAATGCCCTACATTTGATCATATAAGGAGAAAGTTAGACATGGCACAGAGTCTGAAAGAAAATCTACAAGACCATGAAAATGCCGTTAAAAAAACTTTAAAGTTCTTAAAAATGATAAAATTCTACAACAGAGTTTAATTCAAAGGTGTTGCCAATGACCCTACAGGGTAGAGGCAACAAAAAAAAAATCAAATAAATAAATAAATATATAGGTAAGTGAAAGTAAAAAATAATTAATGGGTCAATCTTATATTATTTGACCATTTAGTATTTCTGAATCTGGCAATTCGAGTAAAAAAACATCTAATTTTTGAGAAAACAAATTGATCTCAAATATTAGTACAGGTGTCCTAACTAATAAACTTGAGTTTCGATTGTCAGTTTTCTTAATATTAGTTTTCTTTTTTTAATTTTTAATATAATTTAATTAATATGCATTCAACGCATATTAAAAGAGCATGTTTTTCTTCAAACAGTTTAAATAAACCAACATTATTGGTATATTAAAATGATATAATGGCTATGAATATAATAAAGATGAAAGTAAACGATAAATGTCAACATGAGAAAAATTTAAAAAACAAAATTATGATTTTCGTTTCTTTCATCGATGGCTATAAGAAAAACAATCCTCCTTCTGTTCTCTAAATGTTTATGATAAGAATACCGAAATGATCAATTGGTAGTAGAAACAATTAAAATAAATTATATTAAATTTATACGAATAATAGTAACATTCTTTACGTTTTCATGCAAAATCGTTGTTACTAATTTAACCAAAGGTTGGAGAAACCTTAACCCTAAATAAATGTATCGAAACCACTTAGTTTGCAATAATCATCCATTATATTAGTTGAACAATGTTAAGTGAAATAATAGTAAGATTCGATACGTAAAATGTTTTGGGAGAAAAAATGTATAGTCTCTAGTCTCCTTTTTATGCCTCAAAATTACACATGGACTGATAGCTGGCACCACAAACAGTTGTTTAAAACCCATTTTAATGTCACCATTCCATTTCTTATAAACACTGTTAAAAAATAATACCATTACTTTTTGAATCTGAAAAACGTATGTAAAGCCAGAGGACTTTAAATGATCAAATAATATTAGAATGAATCTCATAAAACAGTAAATATGAGTTAGTATTTTGTTGTCTTAATCAACAACATATGTAAAAAAAAAACCGTTTTCATCGGCACATTCAAATGAATTCATCTTCATTGTCATATAATGTTTTATTTCTTCAACTGGTCCTTTTTATCTGTCCCTGAAGGAACCCTTTTGTACTTCACCACCTTCCATATGTTGAAAAGATACGGGTACAGTAATACGGGAAAAAGTGAAAATGTTATTCATATAGATTTTATTCACTGAAATAAAGAGAGGAATAAATAACGTAAAATAAATATTGCTGCCAGGGGTGGTTTATCCGCTTTACCTTAAGAGCCTACGGAATTCGGTATGAACTGCAGCCGAATCCATAAAAGGAAGACGGATATGGATGGCGTGCGTAAAAGGAACTTCACCTTTCTTGATTTGGAGAAAATGGATGAACACGAGACCAGTAGGCTTATCTCTGTTATTGGACCTCTGCCAACTTAATTATTTTCTTATTCTTTTTCGTAGCAATTAAACGGCAGATGTTTTCCTATCTAGTATCTAAAATGTTATATATTTTACGGTTGTTTGAGTAACATCCACAATCAGAAATTTGTTCTATTTCCATAATATAAACAATTGGAAACACTGATTTGTTTTTGTTTTTTTCTCATATGCGATTAATAGATAATTAATTTGTCTGAAATTGAAATCGTTAAATTATGTACAGCAAAATACCAAAAACCAAAGAGTTAACAATCTAAAATCACGACGTTATTTAATTATTTCATAAACCTTTTTATTTCGGCTTACAGCAACAAAACAACAAATTTTGAGATTATTACAGAAATTAAATAAATAAAACAATGCCCATCTGCATTTTTGATAATGTATAGTAATATACCAAATAAGTGTCAAATAACAAAACCATGTAGATCTTTTTACGCCATAACAAGCCTGCACCACCTCTGCCTGTCTTGGTTTATTTATTTCCAGTTATCTACACGCAGCTCTATTGCATCTTTGTTTATTCTATCTATCCCTCTGCTTTTTGGCCTTCCACATGGTCTTTTGCATTCTATTGAGGCATTCATTGTTACGTAGAGGCTTCCAGTTTGATTCTTAACAACTACATACCCAGCCAATCTTAACCTCCGTGCCTTCACATCATGGGATATTGATAGACCAGTTTCTGTAAGCAGTTCTTTATTTGTCTTTTTTCTCCATGTGTTAGTACTCTGATACCAGATTTCTCCGTTCGTTTTTTCTCTCAATCTTTCAATACTTTTCTCTAGGGTGGTGGTTAGTGTCCAGATCTCACAGCCGTGTATTAGAACTGGCTGTGTCATAGCATTGTGCACCCATAATTTTAGATTATTTGGGATTTCAATATCTTTTAAAGGGAGAAGAAAGCTCTGTTTGAGCTAGTTATACGCTGGGCTATTTCTTCCAGTTGGTCATTCATTGAGGTTATTGTGGAGCCGTGGTATTTGAATTTTTCTACTCTCGGGAATGAATAATCAATAATAATAATATAGTGCTTAGTAGTATTTGGAAATATATATATATATATATAATAGGTAGTGCATTGATAAGTAGTTTGCATAATAAGTAGCATTGATAAGTGTCCCATACTCCTAATACATAGTTCAGGTTGATATTTATACTTGGGAAGGATCGCACTGGCTTAACATCCATGACAACTTCAGCAAATTATCAATGGCATATCCGATGCCGAATAAAACGAAAGAGGCATTCTGCGATGACATGTTCAGCCGGATGTCATGCTATGGAGTACCTAACTGTGTAACGTCAGACTGTGGAAGGGAATTTCGGAACAAAAGTACCACTACGGAATGCTCGGAATTAAATATAAAGTGACGTTTGTATTCCCAGGCTAATCCCCAAGGTCTTGGGGCTATTGAATTCCTCCACAACACCTTAAGTGAACATCTTCGATTGTTCCAATTACATAGAACACTAGGAACGAACGCGGCAATGCCTCGAGCGGTACTGGCATATAACAATACTATCCATTCCATTACAGGCTTTACACCGGTGGAAGTAGTATTCGGTCATTCACTACGGAATCGGGGAGATCACAATCAACTTTTTCGACACAACTTTTCTCGGGCGAACCGTCTCTGCTTGGCCGTACCGAACGAATCCCACAATATTTCATTAGACATAACGGTGTACTGCCAACTACCGTCCAGTCGTCGAAAGAGGCATCGACGATACGTAGGGTCATTCAAGTCATTCTGCGAGAACATAACATTGTGTCTATTCAGGAGCTAGCGGGAGCTCAGGAAGTGAGGCAAACCCATATAAGGCACCTTAGCATCCTTCTTGACCCATGTAGTGAATATCACCACAATAAGCGTTTGGTAGTAAATGTAGTATAAAAAAAATTGGCTTTTTCCCTTCAGTCTAATTAGTTTATTATTTTGTTCAAGCTTTAGTATTTATGTTAATTATAGGTTATTGTGTTCTTCTTTTATAAATTTTATTAGATAATCTCTACATGTTTTATATTTTTATAAACTTTATTATTTAGATAAGGACCTATTAATTATTTTCATGTAAGTTTTCTTTTTTCTTTAAAGTCTTATTACTTTTTGTATTCAGTTCTGTTTTGTATCAAAGAACCTGAAGTTCACTTCCTGAACTGGGGTTTCATTTCTGACCGTTGTTGGTCATTCATTGAGGTTACTGTGGAGCCGAGGTATTTTGAATTTGAAACAAAACCAAATAAAGTAGCGAAAAGTTTTAGAGATGTTAATTACATCAATAACTACATATTAAAAGATCAAAGTGTAATTTAAAAAGTTGTTTTAGTGCCACAAGGAACCCCTTCATGAGTCGAGTCATAGATCATAGATATTTGACTATAAAGAGTTCTATTAGGACTTTTATATTTGATGTTATATTTTCAGGAAAACTAATCAAACATACTAAATACAATTAAAAGCCAACTTTCGGTTCTTAAGAGTGGATTATCACTGGAGTGAAATCTATCAGAAATAATTCGTTAGTTAGATATATAAAAATAAAAGATAAGAACAAAATTGTACAGAAGATGAAGTATAAAAGTTGAAATGATGTGAAGTAAAAATAAATATCTAAAATGTAGCAATCAAAATTATTATTTCGACGTCTCCCTTTAAAACACTTAAGTGTGTAGAGTGTTATTCGTGTTGCCAAAATGACGAGTCTTGGTCTAGCTTACCTAGTCTTAGACTTGGTCTTGGTCTTGAGCAAGAGTTTCGCAAGATCCTTGCAGTTACCTATTAGCTTATTACTATAGATGTATTACTGTATTTTTTTAGATAGAAGAAACATAATCGAGCCTGAATGAAAAATTACAGTTAACTGCATGCAAAGTATATAGGTTAAAGCAATTATTTACACATAGTAACTAAAATTGTCAAGTATTAGTAACTATTTTTCCTTAATTTTTAATCAAAAAATCGATTTTTTTACCAGGCTTGACCTTGTCCTTTCAACAGTTAGGTGATATTGGTCTTTTGGCAACCGATTTTGGACCGATTTTGGGCAACACTAAGTGTTATATTCCGAACATCGTCAAAGAATGTGTTCTAATTTTTGTTTTGGGTATTATAACGGATACTTATTTCTTGCTAGACAATGGTTCTTTCAAACATCAAACGCATCCAATCCTTTCAGTCTAAAGTCCTCCGTACAATAGTCAATGCTCCTTATTATGTTACAAACAAAACCCTACATCATGACCTTTGCATCCCTTATGTCCTTGACGTTATTACATCTGGATTCTCAAATTTTCATCTGAACCTAATCCACCATCCTAACTCCTTAGCACAACCCTTATCCAGCTCCAGTCCCCCCTACAACCCTCCTCGAAGGTTGAAACGGCAGTGGCCTCGAGACCCTTTTGTAAAGACTGTCACAGGAGTTCTGGCAATGGCCAGCCTCTCCACTCACGTCATGAGCGTCTGTTGATTTAGTGCCCTCTCTCAGTGTCAACTGGACTCCTGCCGGTGACGCGGCTGAGAGAGAAGTGCTGGGATCTCTTAGAGTCTCGCTTTGTCCTTCACACGTGGAGGAAAGGGCTGGACTCGGAGCTCCCTTGGCTGATTGTAAATATTGTAAATTAAGTATGAATGTTTTTCTTTTTTATATATTAAGTATGAATGTTTTTCTTTTTTATATATTGCTACGTATCAAAATGGGGTTTTGATAACGGGATGCCACTGGTAATTATTGATCATAATTATCCAGAATTAATTAATATAAATATTTCATTAACAAAATATTGGTTAAACAATTTATGTCATTTGACATATTGGTCCTTGATTCATCTATTGGATTACTTCTCACAAAGGCTTGTTGTGTGTTTATCTGTTCACTAATTACCAAACATTACCTGTGCTTATAATGAAAGAAATAGGTGGCATGATTAAAATAACTTTTATGTACAAATTATATTTATTTACAAGTGATGAGAAAGAATGTTATATACATTATATTTACAAAAATTAATGAACTATACAATTGGTTGTGACGGCATGATTCAGATGGATGGAATTTAAAATTACATTGCCATTAAATATTTATACATCTTTAAAAAGGAATTGTTGGGGATTACTTATCTAATAAGTCGAGATCATCTGGACATGGATCAGGATAGGGCCAAGGCTTCAGTCTCCAAGTTGGAAGAAAACATCAGGGACCTCCTCAGTGCCGGGCAGTCCATCAGGCCTCTCTTCTATCAGCCTCTCCTCATCCAGCTGTCCTCAGCTGAGTCCTATAAAGAAGTGTCCTCAGCCGAATCCCCAGAAGAAGTCCTCTCCTCTCCGAGTCCCAAGAAGAAGTGTTCAGTCTTCATTCTCTATTTCCCACCTTTTTTCATCCCCCTCTCTTTTGGTAGTCTTTTTCCTGATTGGCTGAATATTCTCAGCCTAAGGGATGACCACGCCCTCTCCCCCAGGCCAAGGTAAAGCAGCAGGTACAGATTTCCATATTTCTGGTGGAAGGTGTGAAAAGGTCTTTCGGGATCCTTTTTAAACACTTAGTTGTCGGTCTTTGTCGGTGGTCCTTAAAGGTTTTTATTACCACTTACAAAAGGTTGGGCTTGTTGGTCGTTACCTTCGGTCAGGTACCGCCAGATGTGAACACTTATGATGTTTATTTATACATTTAAAATAATTATTCCACCGGCGGTCTTTACAGTACATAGCAATATTAAGTATGAATGTTTTTCTTTTTTATATATTTATTTGTTTTACTTATGACTTATTTAATATATATATATATTTTTTTTTTTTTAATTTGATTTCAAGTTACATTTCTTTGGTTTTATAGTTTTTACCTTTGTTATATAGATATATATTTTTATTTTCTATTT